TTCAAAAAAATAATCCGAGATTTCGATTTTTTAGAAATTTTTAAAGTTATCAATAAAACGTTGAAAATTAATCATTTTTAATCGAATTAAAACGTTTATATCTCAAGAACTAAAAGTGATTTTGCAAAGCGGGTACTTTTATCCGAAAGATCATACTTTTAATGATAATCGCTAAATATTTCAAAAAAATAATCCGAGATTTCGATTTTTTAGAAATTTTTAAAGTTATCAATAAAACGTTGAAAATTAATCATTTTTAATCGAATTAAAACGTTTATATCTCAAGAACTAAAAGTGATTTTGCAAAGCGGGTACTTTTATCCGAAAGATCATACTTTTAATGATAATCGCTAAATATTTCAAAAAAATAATCCGAGATTTCGATTTTTTAGAAATTTTTAAAGTTATCAATAAAACGTTGAAAATTAATCATTTTTAATCGAATTAAAACGTTTATATCTCAAGAACTAAAAGTGATTTTGCAAAGCGGGTACTTTTATCCGAAAGATCATACTTTTAATGATAATCGCTAAATATTTCAAAAAAATAATCCGAGATTTCGATTTTTTAGAAATTTTTAAAGTTATCAATAAAACGTTGAAAATTAATCATTTTTAATCGAATTAAAACGTTTATATCTCAAGAACTAAAAGTGATTTTGCAAAGCGGGTACTTTTATCCGAAAGATCATACTTTTAATGATAATCGCTAAATATTTCAAAAAAATAATCCGAGATTTCGATTTTTTAGAAATTTTTAAAGTTATCAATAAAACGTTGAAAATTAATCATTTTTAATCGAATTAAAACGTTTATATCTCAAGAACTAAAAGTGATTTTGCAAAGCGGGTACTTTTATCCGAAAGATCATACTTTTAATGATAATCGCTAAATATTTCAAAAAAATAATCCGAGATTTCGATTTTTTAGAAATTTTTAAAGTTATCAATAAAACGTTGAAAATTAATCATTTTTAATCGAATTAAAACGTTTATATCTCAAGAACTAAAAGTGATTTTGCAAAGCGGGTACTTTTATCCGAAAGATCATACTTTTAATGATAATCGCTAAATATTTCAAAAAAATAATCCGAGATTTCGATTTTTTAGAAATTTTTAAAGTTATCAATAAAACGTTGAAAATTAATCATTTTTAATCGAATTAAAACGTTTATATCTCAAGAACTAAAAGTGATTTTGCAAAGCGGGTACTTTTATCCGAAAGATCATACTTTTAATGATAATCGCTAAATATTTCAAAAAAATAATCCGAGATTTCGATTTTTTAGAAATTTTTAAAGTTATCAATAAAACGTTGAAAATTAATCATTTTTAATCGAATTAAAACGTTTATATCTCAAGAACTAAAAGTGATTTTGCAAAGCGGGTACTTTTATCCGAAAGATCATACTTTTAATGATAATCGCTAAATATTTCAAAAAAATAATCCGAGATTTCGATTTTTTAGAAATTTTTAAAGTTATCAATAAAACGTTGAAAATTAATCATTTTTAATCGAATTAAAACGTTTATATCTCAAGAACTAAAAGTGATTTTGCAAAGCGGGTACTTTTATCCGAAAGATCATACTTTTAATGATAATCGCTAAATATTTCAAAAAAATAATCCGAGATTTCGATTTTTTAGAAATTTTTAAAGTTATCAATAAAACGTTGAAAATTAATCATTTTTAATCGAATTAAAACGTTTATATCTCAAGAACTAAAAGTGATTTTGCAAAGCGGGTACTTTTATCCGAAAGATCATACTTTTAATGATAATCACTAAATATTTCAAAAAAATAATCCGAGATTTCGATTTTTTAGAAATTTTTAAAGTTATCAATAAAACGTTGAAAATTAATCATTTTTAATCGAATTAAAACGTTTATATCTCAAGAACTAAAAGTGATTTTGCAAAGCGGGTACTTTTATCAGAAAGATCATACTTTTAATGATAATCCATAAATATTTCAAAAAAATAATCCGTAATTTCGATTTTTTAGAAATTTTTAAAGTTATCAATAAAACGTTAAAAATTAATCATTTTTAATCAAATTAAAACGTTTATATCTCAAGAACTAAAAGTGATTTTGCAAAGCGGGTACTTTTATCTTAAAGATCATACTTTTAATGATAATCGCTAAATATTTCAAAAAAATAAACGGAGATTTCGATTTTTTAGAAATTTTTAAAGTTATCAATAAAACGTTGAAAATTAATCATTTTTAATCGAATTAAAACGTTTATATCTCAAGAACTAAAAGTGATTTTGCAAAGCGGGTACTTTTATCGGAAAGATCATACTTTTAATGATAATCACTAAATATTTCAAAAAATTAATCCGAGATTTCGATTTTTTAGAAATTTTTAAAGTTATCAATAAAACGTTGAAAATCAATCATTTTTAATCGAATTAAAACGTTTATATCTCAAGAACTAAAAGTGATTTTGCAAAGCGGGTACGTTTATCCGAAAGATCATACTTTTAATGATAATCACTAAAACTTTCAAAAAAAAAATACGAGATTTCGATTTTTTAGAAATTTTTAAATTTATCAATAAAACGTTGAAAATAATCGTTTTTAATTGAATTAAAACGTTTATATCTCAAGAACTAAAAGTGATTTTGCAAAGCGGGTACTTTTATCCGAAAGATCATACTTTTAATGATAATCACTAAAACTTTCAAAAAAAAAATACGAGATTTCGATTTTTTAGAAATTTTTAAATTTATCAATAAAACGTTGAAAATAATCGTTTTTAATTGAATTAAAACGTTTATATCTCAAGAACTAAAAGTGATTTTGCAAAGCGGGTACTTTTATCTTAAAGATCATACTTTTAATGATAATCGATAAATATTTCAAAAAAATAATCCGAGATTTCGATTTTGAAGAAAATATTGAAGAAAATATTGGTTTAGACTAAGATTACAAGCGAAAATTGCGTTTTTCGTAACAAAACTGGTTTTTCATACCAGTACACAGCGACACCTAGCGGATATTTAAAAAAATGTTATTAACAAAAATTGTTCTCCGTCCAATTCTGAATAAGTATTATTTGAAACATTTTTCGATACAAACAATAATTAAAAACATAACCTAAAAAAAACTAGTTTTCTATACTAGTACACAGCGACACCTAACGGATATTTTGCAAAATGTTATTAACAAAAATTGTTGTCCGTCCAATTCTGAACAAGTATTATTTGAAACATTTTTCGATACAAACTATAATTAATAACATAACCTAAAAAAACTGGTTTTCCATACTGATACACAGCGACACCTAGTGGATATTTAAAAAAATGTTATTAACAAAAATTGTTCTCCATCCAATTTTGAAGAAGTTTTATTTGAAACATTTTTCGATACAAACTAATTAATAACATAACCTAAAAAAACTAGTTTTTCATACTAGTACACAGCGACACCTAGCGGATATTTTGAAAAATGCTATTAACAAAAATTGTTCTTCGTCCAATTCTGAATCAGTATTATTTGAAATTTTTTTTGATACAAACTATAATTAAAAACAATCTAAAAAAAAACTAGTTTTTCATACCAGTACACAGCGACACCTAGCGGATATTTTGAAAAATGTTATTAATAAAAATTGTTCTCCGTCCAATTCTGAATAGGTATTATTTAAAACATTTTTCGATACAAACTATAATTAATAACATAACCTTACAAAAAAACTAGTTTTTCATTCCAGTACACAGCGAGATCTAGCGGATATTTAAAAAAATGTTATTAACAAAAATTGTTCTCCGTCCAATTCTGAATAAGTATTATTTGAAACATTTTTCGATACAAACTATAATTAATAACATAACCTTAAAAAACTAGTTTTCCATACCAGTACATAGCGACACCTAGTGGATATTTAAAAAAATATTATTAATCAAAATTGTTCTCCGTCCAATTCTGAATAAGTATTATTTGAAACATTTTTCGATACAAACTATAATTAATAACATAACCTTAAAAAAACTAGTTTTCCATACCAGTACACAGCGACACCTAGTGGATATTTAAAAAAATATTATTAACCAAAATTGTTCTCCGTCCAATTCTGAATAAGTATTATTTGAAATATTTTTCGATACAAACTATAATTAATAACATAACCTAAAAAAACTAGTTTTTCATACCAGTACACAGCGACACCTAGCGGATATTTTGAAAAATGATATTAACAAAAATTGTTCTCTGTCGAATTTTGAATAAGTATTATTTGAAAAATTTTTCGATACAAATTTTTTTCTAAAGTTATCAATAAAATGCTAAAAATTAATCATTTTTAATCGAATTAAAACGTTTATATCTCAAGAACTAAAAGTGATTTTGCAAAGCGGGTATTTTTATCAGAAAGATCATACTTTTAATGATAAATAATAAACATTTCAAAAGTATAATCCCAGATTTCGATTTTTTAGAAATTTTTAAACAAACATATTCCTTTTTGCTATTCCATTTCGATACTCTCCATACTTTATTATATCAGTATAAAGAGTTGGACTTGTTCCAAAAGCTTACCCATCCGATTTTCTAACCCCATTTTGAAAATATTTATTCCAGCTTACAAAGGGACGCAAAATATCCACCTCTTTATGCATAATATATCTAAAATCTGAGCGAACACGTCAAAGGAAATTTTATGACTCATTGTGTTAAAAAAAAAACCCGAGTATAGGGGTGGTTTTTCTTTCTTAATGATCTTTAAAAAATCTTTAGACAGAAATAAGAACTTGTTTCCGGTTTTGGCACAACTCCAAATCACATCAACACAAAGATAAACAAGCAACACCAAGAGATACAACGACGAGTTTATTATGTCACTATAAATAAGAGCTTTAAGTTGATTTAGACAGTTTAAAATTGCCCTAATCGATAAGGAGTCACGTAGAGTGTGATACTTGATTAATTATTTGATTGGGCCAAAAACCAGAAAAAAAAAGTGTTTGGAGTGAGTTAAAATGAAATTGGAGGTATTACCAGGTTGTTGCAAGTTGTCTTGGGCGATGGCAAGGGCCCCAAGGAGCACTAAGCCCACCGTGATGAGCCTATGCCAGCCCGACATCGCGGTCACTCGGCCCTTGCACCTTTATCACATTTTACGTCCGGTTTGCACAACATGCTGCGAACGCACTGCGAAGGATAACCACTACAAAGCGGACGGCGTCGCGGCGCCCAGACGTCGCCTCCGTACGGCGCCGGCGTCACATTTCAACGTCCACCAAGAAAAAGGCAACCCCTCGCGATGGGATCCATACGTTTTAGCCCCTTTCAACGCACAACTAAGTCGGAGGGAAACAAGAAGTTGTTGTTATATTTAAATCATGGAAAATGTTTTAGGGGGTGCTAAAGAATATTTTTTAATAACAAAACTTTTTCCCCCCACTTTTAGTTTTTGAGATATAACCCACACTGATGCTCAAAACTCCAAAATCGGGGTTTTTAACTAATACTCAAATAAGCTCGAAATAGTCAAAGCTGGAACAAAAACGATGATGGGAAATGTTTTAGAGGATGTTACAGAATATTTTCTAATAACAAAACTTTTTCCCCCCACTCTCTGGAAACATTCTATTGATATGCTAGGTAATCCAGAGGTTTCTAAAAATTTCTAAAGTTGTCTAAATGTGTCTGAACGCTTTTAAACATTTTTGGAGATTCCCAGACGATACTCAAGTATGTCAAAATGTCTCTGGAACCTCTCTACTGATGTACTAGGTTATCCAGAAGTTTCTAAGAATTTCCAAGATTATCAAAAAGTTTCATATTTGTCTTTTGCTAATTTTAATAATGATGGTAAAAATGTTCTCTCAATTTGCCCATTTCCTCTCAATGCTCCTACTGCCACTTGTAGTAATTTTATATCAATTTTATCACAAAACTGTCAAAAATTATCGCTTGTAAAACATGTTGCTCTATCTGTAATTATTCTAATTGCCAAAATATGTTGGTTCCATGCAGCTGCTTTTTCTGCCAAGGAATTTCTCCTTTATCAGTATTTTCTCTTTCACATTTTGCTTTCGATTATACTCAATGCAACTAATACAATTTTGCAAAGCAAATATAGTATTTCTTCATATTTTTAAAATAGTAATAGAACAGACATATTAAAGTAAAGAAATGCGTGGAAAATGATTTTCAAAGTTTAGGTTTATACTGTGCTATATGAGTTTTGCTTAGAATTTCGAAATGAACTGAAACATGGAATAAAATGCACATTTTGTTTCGTTATAACTTTCTGGCTAAATTTTTTCGCTACGTTAGGAATTTTTAAAATTTTCATATTTTCGTATTTTTATCGACTTTGACGCATCTGAGAGCAAAATAAAACAGAGCAATATTGGTAAGAATAGAATTTACTACAACTTTTGTTTTAAAAGTTTCTTTATAAAATGCTCCGATTCCCCAGTGCTACCTACCGTTATCTGCTAGTAACAACAACTTCTTAAAATTTTTATATTTTCTCATTTTTATCGATATTGACGCATCTGAGACCAAAAGTGCAAGAGAGCAATATTGGTAACAATAAAATTTGCAACAATTTTTGTTATAAAAGTTTTCTTATAGCAAGCTTCGATGCCCAAGTGTTACCTTTAATAACTTGAAAAAGCATCAAATTTTCATATTTTCGTATCTATCTCGATATTGACGTATCTAAGAGTAAAAGTGCAAGAGAGCAATATTGTTAACAATAAAATTTGCAAATATTTTTGTTATAAAAGTTTTCTTATAGCAAACTCCGATTTCCAAGTGTTACCTATAATAGCCTGAAAGAGCAACAAATTTTCATATTTTCGTATCTATCTCGTTATTGACGTATCTAAGAGCAAAAGTGCAAGAGAGCAATATTGTTAACAATAAAATTTGCAACAATTTTTGTTATAAAAATTTTCTTGTAGCATACTGCGATTCCTAAACGTTACCTGCAATATCTCGAAAAATATACAAATTTTCATATTTTTGTATTTTTCTCGATATTGACGTATCTAAGAGCAAATGTGCAAGAGAGCAATATTGTTAACAATAAAAATTGCAACAATTTCTGTTATAAAAATTTTCTTGTAGCATACTCCGATTCCTAAACGTTACCTGCAATATCTCGAAAAATAAAAAAAATTTCATATTTTTGTATTTTTCTCGATATTGACGTATCTAAGAGCAAATGTGCAAGAGAGCAATATTGTTAACAATAAAATTTGCAACAATTTTTGTTATAAAAATTTTCTTGTAGCATACTCCGATTCCTAAACGTTACCCGCAATATCTCGAAAAATAAAAAAATTTTCATATTTTCGTATCTATCTCGATATTGACGTATCTAAGAGCAAAAGTGCAAGAGAGCAATATTGTTAGCAATAAAATTTGCAACAATTTCTGTTATAAAAATTTTCTTGTAGCATACTCCGATTCCTAAACGTTACCTGCAATAGCTCGAAAAATAAAAAAATTTTCATATTTTCGTATCTATCTCGATATTGACGTATCTAAGAGCAAAACTGCAAGAGAGCAATATTGTTAACAATAAAATTTGCAACAATTTTTGATATAAAAGTTTTTTTATAGCAAGCTCCGATTCCCAAGCGTTACCTATAATAGCTTGAAAGAGTAAAAAATTCATCAAATTTTCGTATTTATCTTGATATTGATGTATCTAAGAGCAAAAGTGCAAGAGAGCAATATTATTAACAATAAAATTTGCAACAATTTTTGTTATAAAAGTTTTTTTATACCAAGCTCCGATTCCCAAGTATTACCTATGATAACTTGAAAGAGTAACAAATTTTTATATTTTCGTATTTACCTCGATATTGACGTATCTAAGAGCAAAAGTGCAAGAGAGCAATATTGTTAACAATAAAATTTGCAACAATTTTTGTTATGAAAGTTTTTTTATAGCAAGCTCCGATTCTCAAGTGTTAGCTTTAATATCTTGAAAGAGCAACAAATTTTCATATTTTCGTGTTTATCTCAATATTGACGTATCTAAGAGCAAAAGTACAAGAGAGCAATATTGGTAACAATAAAATTTGCAACAAATTTTGTTATAAAAGTTTTCTTATAGCAAACTGCGATTCCCAAGTTTTACCTATGATAACTTGAAAGTAACAAATTTTTAAATTTTCGTATTTACCTCAATATTGACGTATCTAAGAGCAAAAGTGCAAGAGAGCAATATTATTAACAATAAAATTCGCAACAATTTTTGTTATAAAAGTTTTTTTATAGCATCCTCTGATTCCCAATTGTTGCCTATAACTTGAAAGAGCAAGAAATTCATAAAATTTTCATATTTTCGTATATATCTCGATATTGACGTATCTAGGAGCAAAAGTGCAAGAGAGCAATATTATTAACAATTAAATTTGCAACAATTTTTGTTATAAAAGTTTTCTTATAGCAAGCTCCGATTCCCAAGTGTTACTTATGATAACTTGAAAGCGTAACAAATTTTTACATTTTCGTATTTACCTCTATATTGACGTATCTAAGAGCAAAAGTGCAAGAGAGCAATATTATTAACAATAAAATTCGCAACAATTTTTGTTATAAAAGTTTTTTTATAGCATCCTCTGATTCCCAATTGTTGCCTATAATAACTTGAAAGAGCAAGAAATTCATAAAATTTTCATATTTTCGTATATATCTCGATATTGACGCATCTAACAGCAAAAGTGCAAGAGAGCAATATTATTAACAATAAAATTTGCAACAATTTTTGTTATAAAAGTTTTTTTATACCTAGCTCCGCTTCCCAAGTGTTACCTATGATAACTTGAAAGAGTAACAAATTTTTATATTTTCGTATATATCTCGATATTGATGTATCTAAGAGCAAAAGTGTAACAGAGCAATATTATTAACAATAAAATTCGCAACAATTTTTGTTATAAAAAATTTCCTATAGCTTAATTTTTCGTAATAACCATGACATGATTAAGAGATAAATATCAACAATCGCGAATAAATTTAAATTTTTCTCACCCCGTTATAGGGGTGAAAGGAAAGGAATGAAATGGGGTCGAGATCGTAAAGAATTTAATAACTAGCACTACACCGTAATAAACGCAATGAGGTCGAGCAATTCCAACAAATTTTCGTTTCAATCTAAAATGATTAAAAGGTTACAACGTTGATAAATAAACCAGATTATTAGAAATTGCATGTTATTGCGTATATTTCGATCGATTTGATTTCGTAACGCATTTTTCTTTGGTAATAAAAAAAAGTTTGAGCCAATCCCCTATTATTACATAACACAATGAGATGACTGAAAGAGACCGATGGAATAATTCGTCTTTGGCAATTTCTTTTCTGGGTTACATTAAGAGAGTGAAAGTAATCTCGAATCCAACAGTTCAGCCAGTTCGTTTTAAGACGACAACTCCAAAACAACTCGATATGGAGGTGATAAATTTTAAGATCTTTTTTGTTGTTGTGGTCCTTTTTGATTTTTGTGGTGAAATTTTTGCATTTCCCGATGGGGCTCCGGTTGATGCTTGCGTTAAACCAAAACCAAATCAACCTTATCACGGTCAAGCTAAACCACAACCAATCGAATCCAATCCTTATCAAATTATTGCTAATCACGATCGATACGGACCTGGACAAGAAATAACTGGTATGTTCTTCTTTCAATCATTTCGCAACGAATGATTCCAAATAACTCACAATTAATTACTTTGAACCAGTAACGATTCGTGGTGATGAATATTTCAAAGGATTCTTTGTGCAAGCAAGAGATGCTCGTACCAATGAATGGATTGGAGAATGGGTTGAAACGCCGAATGTAACCATACATCCGGAATGTAGTGCGATAACCCACGCCGATCCCAAAGAAAAGCAACAAGCTGTATTTTTATGGCGAGCCCCCAAAAATAAGCAAGGAGGACGAGTTTATTTCACGTAAATCCGTTTAATTTAATTTGTGAATTGAATTAAATGAAATTTTTGTTGTAGGGGTACCGTTTTGAAAGATTACAACACGTTCTGGTCGAATTTGGTGAACGTTGTGAGTCACTAAGATGTAAATATCGATCGAGATTTTGTAAATAAAGTTTTTTTTTTAATTATTCTTACTCATATTCCAAGAAACGTGTCTTATACGAATTTTTAATTCGCTGTTTGACTAACAGATAATGGTAGGTAGTACTGGGGAATCGGAGTATTTTATAAAAAAAATTTTTAAACAAAAGTTGTAGCAAATTTCATTCTTACCAATATTGCTCTCTTGCACTTTTGCTCTCAGATGCGTCAATATCGAGAAAAATGCAAAAATATGGAAATTTGAAGAATTCGTTGTTACTAGCAGATAATGGTAGGTAGCATTAGGGAATCGGAGCTTGCTATAAGAAAACTTTTATAACAAAAATTGTTGCAAATTTTATTGTTAATAATATTGCTCTCTTGCACTTTTGCTCTTAGATGTGTCAATATCGAGATAAATACGAAAATATGAAAATTTGTTACTCTTTGAAGATATTATAGGTATCACTTGAAAATCGGAGCTTGCTATAAAAAAACTTTTATAACAAAAATTGCTGAAAATATTATTCTTAACAATATTGCTCTCTTGCACTTTTCCTCTTAGATACGTCAATATCGAGATAGATACGAAAATATGAAAATTTGCTACTCATTCAAGTCATTAAAGGTAACACTTGGGAATCGGAGCTTGCTATAAAAAAACTTTTGTAACAAAAATTATTGCAAATTTTATTGTTAACAATATTGCTCTCTTGCACTTTTGCTCTTAGATGCGTCAATATCGAGATAGATACCAAAATATATAAATTTAACGAATTTGTTGCTCTTTCAAGCTATTATAGGTAATACTTGGAAATCGGAGCTTGCTATAAGAAAACTTTTATAACAAAAATTGTTGCAAATTTTATTGTTAACAATATTGCTCTGTTGCATTTTTGCTCTTAGATACATCACTATCGAGATAGATACCAAAATATATAAATTTGATGAATTTGTTACTCTTTCAAGATATTAAAGGTAACACTTGAGAATCGGAGCTTGCTATAAAAAAACTTTTATAATAGAAATTGTTGCAAATTTTATTGTTAATAATATTGCTCTTTTGCACTTTTGCTCTTACATGCGTCAATATCGAGAAAAATATAAAAATATGAAAATTTGCTTATTTTTCGAGATATTGCAGGTAACGTTTAGGAATCGGAGTATGCTACAAGAAAACTTTTAAAACAAAAATTGTTGCAAATTTTATTGCTAACAATATTGCTCTCTTGCACTTTTGCTGTTAGATACGTCAATAACGAGATAGATACCAAAATATGAAAATTTGATGAATTTGTTGCTCTTTCAAGCTATTATAGGTAACACTTGGAAATCGGAGCTTGCTATAATAAAACTGTTATAACGAAAATTGTTGCAAATTTTATTGTTAACAATATTGCTCTCTTGCACTTTTGCTCTTAGATACGTCAATATCGAGATAGATACGAAAACATGAAAATTTGTTTCTCTTTCAAGTTATTATAGGTAACACTTAAGAATCAGAGCTTGATATAAAAAAACTTTTATAACAAAAATTGTTGCAAATTTTATTGTTAATAACATTGCTCTCTTGCACTTTTGCTCTTAGATATGTCACTATCGAGATAGATACCAAAATATATAAATTTTATGAATTTGTTGCTCTTTCAAGCTATTATAGGTAACACTTGGAAATCGGAGCTTGCTACAATGAAACTTTTATGACAAAAATTGTAGCAAATTTTATTGTTAATAACATTGCTGTCTTGCACTTTTGCTCTTAAATGCGTCAATATCGAGAAAAATACAAAAATATGAGAATTTGTTTATTTTTCGAGATATTGCAGTTAACGTTTAGGAATCGGAGTATGCTACAGGAAAACTTTTATAACAAAAATTCTTGCAAATTTTATTGTTAATAATATTGCTCTCTTGCACGTTTGCTCTTAGATACGTCAATATCCAGGTAAATACGAAAATATGAAAATTTGTTACTCTTTCAAGTTATTATAGGTAATACTTGGAAATTGGAGCTCGCTATAGAAAATCTTTTAAAACAAAAATTGTTGCAAATTTTATTGTTAATAATATTGCTCTCTTGCACTTTTGCTCTTAGATATGTCACTATCGAGATAGATACCAAAGTATATAAATTTTATGAATTTGTTGCTCTTTCAAGCTATTATAGGTAACACTTGGGAATCGGAGCTTGCTATAAGAAAACTTTTATAATAAAAATTGTTGCAAATTTTATTGTTAACAATATTGCTCTCTTGCACTTTTGCTCTTAGATGCGTCAATATCGAGATAGATACCAAAATATATAAATTTGATGAATTTGTTACTCTTTCAAGATATTAAAGGTAACACTTGAGAATCGGAGCTTGCTATAAAAAAACTTTTATAATAGAAATTGTTGCAAATTTTATTGTTAATAATATTGCTCTTTTGCACTTTTGCTCTTACATGCGTCAATATCGAGAAAAATATAAAAATATGAAAATTTGCTTATTTTTCGAGATATTGCAGGTAACGTTTAGGAATCGGAGTATGCTACAAGAAAACTTTTAAAACAAAAATTGTTGCAAATTTTATTGCTAACAATATTGCTCTCTTGCACTTTTGCTGTTAGATACGTCAATAACGAGATAGATACCAAAATATGAAAATTTGATGAATTTGTTGCTCTTTCAAGCTATTATAGGTAACACTTGGAAATCGGAGCTTGCTAGAATAAAACTGTTATAACAAAAATTGTTGCAAACTTTATTGTTAATAATATTGCTCTCTTGCACTTTTGCTCTTAGATATGTCACTATCGAGATAGATACCAAAATATGTATATAAATTTGATGAATTTGTTGCTCTTTCAAGCTACTATAGGTAACACTTGGAAATCGGAGCTTGCTATAATGAAACGTTTATGACAAAAATTGTAGCAAATTTTATTGTTAATAACATTGCTCTCTTGCACTTTTGCTCTTAGATGCGTCAATATCGAGAAAAATACAAAAATATGAGAATTTGTTTATTTTTCGAGATATTGCAGGTAACGTTCAGGAATCGGAGTATGCTACAAGAAAACTTTTAAAACAAAAATTGTTGCAAATTTTATTGTTAATAATATTGCTCTCTTGCACGTTTGTTCTTAGATACGTCAATATCGAGGTAAATACGAAAATATGAAAATTTGTTACTCTTTCAAGTTATTATAGGTAATACTTGGAAATTGGAGCAAGAGAGCAATATTGGTAACAATAAAATTTGCAACAATTTTTGTTATAAAAGTTTTCTTATAGCGAACTCCGATTCTTAAGTGTTACCTATGATAGCTTGAAAGAGCAACAAATTTTCATATTTTCGTATCTATCTCGATATTGACGCATCTAAGAGCAAAAGTGTAAGAGAGCAATATTGTTAGCAATAAAATTTGCAACAACTTTTGTTATAAAAGTTTTCTTATAGCAAGCTCCGATTCTTAAGTGTTACCTTTAATAAGGTAGATAAAGATTCTCCAGAATGACAAAAATATTACATTACATTTAACTAGTAGCCTGGGCAGAAATGATGCACAACTTGATAATAAAATGGATATAATCTCACTCTCCCACCCCACATCCCTGTTAATGCAGTATTGATACATACTATGCATTGAGGTGCATTGACCCCACACGCCCAGTTAAAAATAAAATCGCATTATCTCCATTACTCTATTTTTTATGCACACGTAAGCATAGATAACGGAAATAACACACTTTATCTACATGATATTATCTACACGACACACCATTGATACACTTACAGTACTTTCCATTTCAAAAAAGCAGAAAAATAAGTGCAAAAAGAACCATAAATATTGTCTAAAATAAAAAAATAATACTTCTAAATGAACACCTTGATTAATATTAAGGTTAGTAGACAAAGGATTGCTTTGCGGCATGGATTTAACGGTTAATCGATAACTTTGATACGGAATGCTGCATTGCTCTTTTGCAGCGTGGCACTACCAAGAGCCCCAGCCGGTGTTTATTAAACCGGGGGTTGTATGGGGAATTCAAGTCATCGATCCAACCGACAGTCACGACAGGCAGGGCGAAAATAAAACATAACAATCACCCATTTTAACGGAAATGCGATTTCGCAACGAAAGAATCTATTCAATCAAAATAAAAAGAAATTTTTTAGCTGACTTTATCGGCTGGTTGATCTGTTTATTTCGCCTATAGAGCACGATTTAGACCAAGAAAGCCATAAAAATAAATTTTTTGGGGGTAATTTGTATAGTTAGAACCATCTAGGGGGAATAGTATGAGTTAAATGTTTTTGTTTCTGTAAGTGCGCCATCTATTGGATAAGTATTTAACCCGATTTAGTACAAGGTATATCAGCTTAGTGTGTTTTCTTTTTTGTATCCTTTACACATTACCCTCTGATGCATCAGTGTAGAGAAATATTCAAAAATTTGAAAATTCGTAAAATTCGGAGTTACACAAGTTGCTCATGGAAAAAAAATGGTAAGCTGAGCACGATACAAAAAAACTTTTAGAACAAAAGTTGTAGCAAATTTTATTCTTAACAGTATTGCTCTCTTGCACTTTTGCTCCCAGATGAATAGATATTGAGAAAAATAGGAAAATTTAAAAATTTGATGAATTTTATTGTTTTAAGTAGGTAATGGTAAAATTTTTGAATCGGAGCATGTTACAAAAAAACTTTTAGAACAAAAGTTGTAGCAAATTTTAATCTTAACAATATTGCCCTGTTGCACTTTTGCTCTCAGATGAATAGATATCGAGAAAAATACGAAAATTTAAAAATTTGATGAATTTTATTGTTTTAAGTAGGTAATGGTAAAATTTTTGAATCGGAGCATGTTATAAAAAACCTTTTAGAACAAAAGTTGTAGCAAATTTTATTCTTAACAATATTGCCTTCTTACACTTTTGCTCTCATTGTCAGATGAATAGATGTCGAGAAAAATACGAAAATTTAAAAATTTAATGAATTTTATTGTTTTAAGTATGTAATGGTAATATTTTTAAAATCAAAGCATGTCAAAAAAACTTTTAGAACAAAAGTAGTAGCATATTTTATTCTTAATAATATTGGCCTCTTGCACTTTTGCCCTCAGATGAATAGATATCGAGAAAAATACGAAAATTTAAAAATTTGATGAATTTCGTTGTTTTAAGTAGGTAATGGTAAAATTTTTGAATCGGAGCATATTATCAAAAAACTTTTAAAACAAAAGTTGTAGCAAATTTTATTCTTAACAATATTGCCCTGTTGCAATTTTGCCCTCAGATGAATAGATATCGAGAAAAATACGAAAATTTAAAAATTTGATGAATTTTATTGTTTTAAGTAGGCAATGGTAATATTTTTGAATCGAAGCATGTTATAAAAAAACTTTCAGAACAAAAGTTGTAGCAAATTTGATTCTTAACAGTATTGCTCTCTTGCACTTTTGCTCTCAGATGAATAGATATTGAGAAAAATAGGAAAATTTGATGAATTTCGTTGTTTAAAGTAGGTGATCGTAACATTTTTGAATCGGAGCATGTCACAAAAAAACTTTTAGAACAGAAGTTGTAGCAAATTTTATTCTTAATAATATTGGCCTCTTGCACTTTTGCTCTCAGATCAATAGATATCGAGAAAAATACGAAAATTTAAAAATTTGATGAATTTTATTGTTTTAAATAGGTAATGGTAATATTTTTGAATCGGAGCATGTTATAAAAAAACTTTCAGAACAAAAGTTGTAGCAAATTTTATTGTTAACAATATTGCTTTCTTGCACTTTTGTTCTCAGATGCATAGATATCGAGAAAAATACGAAAATTTGATGAATTTTATTGTTTTAAGTAGGTAATGGTAATATTTTTGAATCGGAGCATGTGATAAAAAAACGTTTAGAACAAAAGTTGTAGCAAATTTTATTCTTAACAATATTGCCCTCTTGCACTTTTGCTCTCAGATGAATAGATATCGAGAAGAATACGAAAATTTGATGAAATTTATTATTTTATTGCGTTATCTCGGTTATTTTTAAAGATAAATATGGAGTGTTTGGGCTCGTTTTAACCGGAATTTAACGGAAATTTCAAATTAATTAAAAAAAATCGATTTGAAGTGATTCCGGTATAATTTTTTTCTTAGTAAAGTTTGAACACAGCAAATTTAATTAATATCGCCATCTATTATTCAATTACGGAACTAATCGAAATTATTTTGAAGTTAAATTTGGTTCGAAACTCGGCTAATTAAAAAATTATACCGAGTGGTCCAAATAACAATTGAAATTGTGATTGAAATTTTTTCGAAATTGAATTATTTTTGAATCACCCGGTATAATTTTTTACTTGCAATTAGTGAAGTTTCAAACCAGCAAATTTAATTAATATCGCCATCTGTTATTCAATTACGGAACTAATCGAAATTATTTTGAAGTTAAATTTGGTTCGAAACTAAAATTAAAAAATTAAATTAACTTAAATTTTTTTATATAAACGTATTAATAATTATACATGTTTCGAAAGAAGACATCTTTTTCTTAAGCTTCAATTTGGTACATAAATCATTTCTTTATATTGATAAATAATGAAGTTATGGTTATTTGAAAATGAATCCATTTTGAGTTGTCAAAAGTACGTCATCATACTTTTTAATTTATCTCGAAATTTTTTTATATACAACCCATTAATATTGTATAGGTATCGAAAGAAGACATCTTAAGCTTCACTTTGGTATATAAATCACTTCTTTATATTCATAAATAATGAAGTTATGATTTTTTGAAAATTAACTAATTTTAACCTGTCAAAATAACGTCATCATAATTTTTAATTTTTCTCAAAATTTTTATAATCCAACCTATATCTTATTATATATCATTGAAAAGTAGAGAGTTGAAGCTTTAATTTGATATAAAAATCATTAATTAATATCCATCAATAAAGCCACAGCGATTTTTTGAATTTTTTCATTTTTATTGGTAATTAGATTATGACCAAAATGAATTATTTATTATTTATCTCAATATTTTTTTAATCCAACCTATATGTTATTATATACCATTGAAAAGTAGAGAGTTGAGGCTTTAATTTGAGATATAAATCAATTCTCCACCTTCATAAATGAAGAAGTTACGATTTTTTTTAAATTAACCACTTTTCAAGCGATGTAAATTAATCTTTTTCTCAAAATTTTTTTATATAAACGTATTAATAATTATACATGTTTCGAAAGAAGACATCTTCAGCTTTAATTTGAGATATAAATCAATTCTCCATCTTCATAAATAAAGAAGTTATGATTTTTTTTAAATTAACCACTTTTCAAGCGATCTAAATTAATGTTTTTCTCAAAATTTTTGTATATAAACGTATTAAACATTATACAGATTTCGAAAGAAGACATCTTCAGCTTTAATTTGAGATATAAATCAATTCTCCACCTTCATAAATAAAGAAGTTATGATTTTTTTAAATTAACATGGTTAAATGATGCTAAATCATCAAATTTAACTCCCAAAACTTATTTATCTCAATTTCTAGCAACTAATTGATAAAGAGTAACCCTATACACACAAATAGTTAACAATAAACAAATAATTTAGTAATTATATAGCATTAAAAACCTCTCACATCAATTATAGGTTAAATAAGACAACTTTACCTTAATATTTTCCTTTATAAAACGAAATCCGAATCCAAACTACAAAATAAGACTAAAAAACATAAATCTTATTCCCCCCTTTGCTTCTCCAAGTCACAAACATCCTTTTGCTGCCTCTTAAAAGCCTCCAAAAGCTGTTGGGTGGCACTTTTTGGTTCATTCAAAGGCACAGAAAGGTTTTCTTGGGGGAATTTAACCAAATTTAAACCCTCCTCTCTAAAAGTAAAGGGCGTCCATGGCCCTTGAATGGATGGGTGATCCGTATGCCACATTTTCCTCAATCGAAACCCTTCATGATTCCCAGATTGAGTTCGAAGCAAATTTAACCACTTCAAAACTTCCTCCTCGGTGTAATTTCGACAAGAAATGTGTTGTTTATCGCCGTTTACTACAAAATTAAGATTTAATTAGTATTTAACCAATTTTATGAGACAACAAATACAATATTCTGCTATAATAACTGGAGATCGATGTCTTCTTGGTTTTAAATAAACAACAACTCCTGGATTTGATTCAGCAAAGTTAATTAAACCTTTTTCGACGAAATCCCTTAAAAAATAATAATAAATTAGCTAAATTAGGACAAAAAATTGAAATAAATCTAACCTCATTCCTCGACTTGAACCGTTATTTTTACAAAACTTTAAAACCACTCTTTGAAGCTGACAAACGTATCTTCCAACCCCATTGTACCCCGGGGTGGTTAAAAACCCCGATTTTAAGAATAAATGGGTATTAGACATGATTTATTTCGAGGTTAGTTCGATGTTTTGGGGTTATGCGCAAGGTCCGTTTATGAACGTAGCCTCGCTGTCAATTGACATTTCTATATTCTTAATTATACAGTATATTTCACTTAAAAAGCAATATACGAAGATATTAAAAAGAAAAAATTAAATTGAATTAAATAAATATGAAAATATAAAGCGAAATATCCAATTTTATTATTGTTAGGATATCCAACTTGAACTTGACTCCGTTACCATGGTGATTAAGATCGCAATATGGTGCTTGTCAAAATTGAAATTGAATTTAAGTTTTTTTAATGAAAAATACATAATTAATTGGATTAAAAGGTTGTGTTTAATTTAAAATGGGTAAATGGATGAAATTATAAGCAAGGTAAGTGGATTAAATCAAAAAAAAATTTAATTTTGACATACTTGTCAACTTCATAAAAAATCCTATAAAATGAGTCCAAACTCGACATATTTAACTTTAATATTAATGGAAATACAATCACTTCCGGTTTGAAACGTCAACGTCAATTTTGACATATTTGTCATCTTTATTAAAAAACCTTTAAAATGAGTCCAAACACGACGCACTTATCTCGAAAAACAAAAAAGTTTGAATAAAAAAACGTTAAACCCGAAGTTGGCAACAATGAAGATAGCAATTTCATTCTTAAATATTAATACCAACCTTAATTTTTAATTTTTTTTTATCACATTTTTATTTTTGTGATAAATTTTGCGACATTTCATAAATATTAAGAATTTGTCAAAATGACATTGACATTTCAAACCGGAAGTTGCTTATATCTCTAGTAATATTGGAATTAAACATATCGTGTTTGGGCTCATTTTAAAGGATTTTTCACGACGATTACAAATATGTCAAAATTGACGTTGACGTTTCTAACCGGAAGTTGACCATAACTTCGTTAATATTGAAGATAAATATGTCGTGTTTGTACTCATTTTAAGCGATTTTTAATGAAGATCACAAATATGTCAAAATTGAGGTTGACATTTTAAATCTGAAGTTAGTTATCATATCATGGACAACTTCATAGTGTTCCTTCATGAATTCATTACAAGAATTTAGGGTTAAATAACTTAATTTTATTATTATATTCATAATCTTCATAAAAAATCCTTTAAAATGAGTCCAAACTCAACATATTTAACTTTAATATTAAAGGAAATACAATTACTTCCGGTTTGAAACGTCAACGTCAATTTTGACATATTTGTCATCTTCATTAAAAAACCTTTAAAATGAGTCCAAACACGACCCACTTATCTCGAAAAACAAAAAAGTTTGAATAAAAAAACGTCAAACCCGAAGTTGGCAACAATGAAGATAGCAATTTAATTATTAAATATTAATACCAACCTTAATTTTTAATTTTTTTTATCGCATTTTTATTTTTGTGATAAATTTTGCGACATTTTATAAACATTAAGAATTTGTCAAAATGACATTGACATTTCAAACCGGAAATTGCTTATATCTCGAGTAATATTGGAATTAAACGTGTCATGTTTGGGGTCATTTTAAAGGATTTTTCATTTCGATTACGAATATGTCAAAATTGACGTTGACGTTTCTAACCGGAAGTTGACCATAACTTCGTTAATATTGAAGATAAATATGTCGTGTTTGTACTCATTTTAAAGGATTTTTAATGAAGATTACAAATATGTCAAAATTGAGGTTGACATTTTAAATCTGAAGTTAGTTATCACATTAAAACGAGTCCAAACATGACGCATTTATCTCAAAAAATCAAAAACTTCGAACTTTCAATTTTTAATTTTGACATATTTGTCAACTTCATAAAAAATCCTTTAAAATGAGTCCAAACTCGACATGTTTAACTTTAATATTAATGGAAATACAATCACTTCCGGTTTGAAACGTCAACGTCAATTTTGACATATTTGTCATCTTCATTAAAAAACGTTTAAAATGAGTCCAAACACGACGCACTTATCTCGAAAAATAAAAAAGTTTCAATAAAAAAACGTTAAACCCGAAGTTGGCAACAATGAAGATAGCAATTTAATTATTAAATATTAATACCAACCTTAATTTTTAATTTTTTTTATCATATTTTTATTTTTGTGATAAATTTTGCGACATTTCATAAAAATTAAGAATGTCAAAATGACATTGACATTTCAAACCGGAAATTGCTTATATCTCGAGTAATATTGGAATTAAATGTGTCATGTTTGGGCTCATTTTAAAGGATTTTTCACGACGATTACAAATATGTCAAAATTGACATTGACGTTTCTAACCGGAAGTTGACCATAACTTCGTTAATTTTGAAGATAAATATGTCGTGTTTGTACTCATTTTAAACGATTTTTAATGAGGATTACAAATATGTCACAATTGAGGTTGACATTTTAAATCTGGAGTTAGTTATCATATCATGGACAACTTCATGGTGTTCCTTCATGATGCATTATTTATTAAAAATCCTTTAAAATGAGTCCAAACATGACAAATTTATCTCAAAAAACTTTCAACTTTTAATTTTGACATATTTGTCAACTTCATAAAAAATCCTTTAAAATGAGTCCAAACTCGACATATTTAACTTTAATATTAACGGAAATACAATCACTTCCGGTTTGAAACGTCAACGTCAATTTTGACATATTTGTCATCTTCATTAAAAACCCTTTAAAATGAGTCCAAACACGACGCACTTATCTCAAAAAACAAAAAAGTTTGAATAAAAAAGCGTTAAACCCGAAGTTGGCAACAATGAAGATATCAATTTAATTTTTAAATAGTAATACCAACCTTAATTTTTAATTTTTTTTATTGCATTTTTATTTTTGTGATAAATTTTGCGACATTTCATAAAAATTAAGAATTTGTCAAAATGACATTGACGTTTCAAACCGGAAGTTGCTTATATCTCGAGTAATATTGGAACTAAACCTATCATGTTTGGGCTCATTTTAAAGGATTTTTCGCGATAATTACAAATATATCAAAATTGACATTGACGTTTCTAACCGGAAGTTGACCATAACTTCGTTAATATTGAAGATAAATATGTCGTGTTTGTACTCATTTTAAAGGATTTTTAATGAAGATTACAAATATGTCAGTGGGGAATTACAATTTTGAAATAAAATACAAAAAGTCCTCGTTTCCTGTTCGTAACGCTTGGGTTATGAACCGTACAGGAAAAGAATGCGCCTTTGTTGCTTTGTTACCTTGTTCTAAATTAAATAATGAGACTTTTATTGTAGTGGCATTCGCGTTCCAGTTGGTGTTTAATCGAAATTCGATTCTATTTCCGTTTTTTTGTTATTTTATTCTTTTTACGGTCGTTTTGATATTGATTCTTCTTCGCTAGGTAACGTGTACTGAAACACGCAATTAGGGTTTTTATTATTTATAATGGAATATTAGTGGGCTACGTAGCGTTTGACCGATCATTTTCCTGGAAAAGAAAATGTCGTGCCAGTTGGTATCGATCATTTTGCGGTTTCAACCACATAAAAGATTTATTATAGTTTTAAATGAAATTATAATCTTAAATGTAATATTTTTGAATGACCTATTTTCTATTAATTGAAATAATGTGCAGTTACTTTTGAGTAGCCCGATAGATGGTCTTTTTCTTCTTAGGATCTTATCCAAGTCATTCCTAAAAGTCAGAATGAAGGCAGTAATTTTAATAAAATTGAAGGAAGCAAAAAGAGAGCAAAAGAACTAATTTGAAACTTGATTTTGACAATTTTTGACAGTGTTTAATATATTACCAGTTGTATCCAGTCTTCTGGAAGTATTTAGTAATCTTTCCAAGCAGCATTTTGTTATCTGCAAGTAATAAGGAGGCTTCTTAAGCAGTATCTAATCTTCTACAAATACTAATGAAGTCTTTCCAAGCAATATATAATCTTTTGCAAACACTAAGAAGCTGTCCTAAGCAGTATTTAGTCTTTTGCCAACACTAAGGAAGTATTTAAAAGCATTATATAGCCTTTGGAAGTAGTAAGGAATCTTTCTAAATAGTAAATAATCTTCTGCAAACATGAAATAGTCGTTTGCAAGCACTAAGAAGCTTTCCTAAGCAGTATTTAGTCTTTTGCCAACACTTAGGAAGTATTTAGAAGCACTATGTAGCCTTTGGAAGTAGTAAGGAATCTTTCTAAGTAGTAAATAATCTTCTGCAAACAGGAAATAGTCTTTTGCAAGAACTAAGAAGCTTTCCTAAGCAGTATTTAGTCTTTTGCCAACACTAAGGAAGTATTTAAAAGCACTATGTAGCCTTTGGAAGTAGTAAGGAATCTTTCTAAGTAGTAAATAATCTTCTGTAACAGGAAATAGTCTTTTGCAAGCACTAAGAAGCTTTCCTAAGCAGTATATAGTCTTTTGCCAATACTAAGGAAGTATTTAAAAGCACTATGTAGCATTTGGAAGTAGTAAGGAGTCTTTCTAAGTAGTAAATAATCTTCTGCAAACAGGAAATAGTCTTTTGCAAACACCAAGAAGCCTTCCCAAGCAGCATCTAATCTTTTGCAAGCACTAAGAAGCTTTCCTAAGCAGTATTTAGTATTTTGCCAACACTAAGGAAGTATTTAAAAGCACTATGTAGCCTTTGGAAGTAGTAAGGAGTCTTTCTAAGTAGTAAATAATCTTCTGCAAACAGGAAATAGTCTTTTGCAAGCACTAAGAAGTCTTCCCAAGCAGCATCTAATCTTTTGCAAGCATTAAGAAGCTTTTCTGAGCAGTATTTAGTACTATTCCCGTAGAAAGGAATATTTAGAAGCACTATCTAGCACTTTGGAAGCACTGAGAAGCCTTCCAAAGCAGCATCTAATCTTTTGCAAGCACTAAGAAGCTGTCTTAAGCAGTATTTAGTCTTTTACCAACACTAAGGAGGTATTTAAAACCACTATGTAGCCTTTGGAAGCACTAAGGAGTCTTTCTAAGCAGTAAATAATCTTCTGCAAACAGGAAATAGTCTTTTGCAAGCACTAAGAAGCCTTCCCAAGCAGCATCTAATCTTTTGAAAGCACTAAGAAGCTTTCCTA